CTCCCACAAATATTTTTGCTACACAGACCAGACCACAAGATTTTTCCAACACCTACTAGTGTTAGCAATGATGTCAATGGCAGGAAGCTATAGTGGCATAAAGAACTCTACTACAACAGTAGGAGTTGTGTCTTATTAAAATTTGTAATAACCAAGGGCCATCCGGCTAGAAAAGAAACTGCCTTCCTTTGGAAACTCAGACTGTAATTCCACTTCGATGTGTCAAATGAGTTGTAGAGTAAATAAAAATAGCTAACATTTATTGAGTATTTACCATGTGTCAGGAACTGCTCATTGCTTTGTGTGTATTAAGACCTTTCTTTCTCAGAGCAACTTATGAAGTATAATTTTTCTCCTCATTTGAGAAGGAGATTGAAGCCCAGAGGGGGTGCTAACTGGCTCAAGATGGCACAACTGGTAAGTAATGGATACAAAACTGACTAAAACTCTTTGAGCCCCTATGGCAACCCAATCCTGCTCCAACCTTGCAGAGATGGGGAAAGATGGCCCCACCTCTCTTCATAACAGCAGATCTCCTGGATGAGTCCCTTAAGCAAGAACTGATTCCTTAGTCCTATTTACGAGTCCTTAACACATGCCAGGGCTCTGCTCACTGTTTCACAAGCAATCTCCCTTTTAAGCGTCCAATAATCCAAGAAAGTAGGCATTACACCTCCATGGGGAAAAGGAGATTCCAGAGGATAGGAAACTCCCCCAGTTCCCTGAGGTCAGGAAGCAGCAGAGGCAGTTTACAGACGCACACTGTCTCATTCCAAAGCCCTCTGCCTTTTACAAACAGAAATGATAGATGGAAAAGTGATGGCTCAAGATTGAGAATCCAGCAGGAAAACTGGAAGTTCTTCTCTATGGCTGACAATTGCCATACCTCCAATCCTTACAGCAGTCAGCAAGGCATTATTTTATTTTGTCATCTGTTGTCATTCTTACTATTCTTAAGAGGCGATTTTTTTTTTTAAATTGCCATACCTCCAATCCTTACAGCAGTCAGCAAGGCATTATTTTATTTTGTCATCTGTTGTCATTCTTACTATTCTTAAGAGGCGATTTTTTTTTTTGCTTAATTTTAATTTAAGTGATTAAATTCATCATTACAATAAAATCATTTAAATTAGATTTAGATTGCTTGAAATTAAACTGTATTTGCTTAAAATTAAACTGCCAGTAAGTGACAGGGACAAAGGAAGGCTGTGGGCCCCGTGATCTATCCCCTGACCCTGCTAACTGATGCTGCATTTGAGAACATTGATTTTCCATGTGCAACTTCTGACTTCTTGGCAATTCTTAGAAAAACGTCTGTATTTGTAATGAAGACTACATTTACTCAAGAGCGGTAAGGGGAAATAATTTCATTTTCCAGCATGAGCTGCAAGAAAAGGGCAAAATCACCATCTATGGGTATTCACCCAAAGAGGGAAGGGAAGGAAATGAGAGGGAAGAGGACGCCTCTAGCCCGAATGAGCTAAATGGTGGACTTCTGTTGTCTGCAACAAGACTTCGAGGCAACTGATCCCGCACAGCTGCCTGTCACTGTCACCCATGGGTGCCTGTTCCTGCAGTGCCGCCGGCCAGCCCTCCCTTTCTCGGCTCACTCCTGCTTGTGTGAGAACCTTGCTTCCCAAGGGGCACCTGGAGGGCGTGGGCCTGGCTCTCGCCTTCCTTGGGGCCCCCTCTGAGCCTGTACGAAGCACAAACCTGTTTACAGTCTGGAACCCGACAAAGAGCTATTGGGTTTACTTGTTCTTGTGGGAGGAGAGAGGAGAAGCGCATGACAGAGAACGCAGCTACTTAACAGCAAAGCCTGGTTCCAGGACCAAGAAAATGACTGCAAAGAGCACATGCTGCAGGTTGCGTTCCCTGCCTCGCACTGCGAAGGAGCTTGCTGTCCCCTGCGAGGAGGTGCCTGAGAGGCAGGAAACATGCTGCTGTGCTCTGGTGGCTGAGAATCAAGCTCCACAGGCATTCCCTTTCCTTTCAATGAACAAAAAGATCTGTTTCCGCTATTTCCCCATCTCCCTGGCCTGCCGGAGCACTGTGGGGACGCAATGTTTGCACTTGAGCCATAGAAGGAACCAATCCAGGTGCCTGTGGCATTGCTCGAGAACCAGCATGGCCCTGCATGAGTAGAAACAATGGGAGTAACAGCAACTAGTGTTCTGCCACAGAAATAACTGGGCTGCTTTTCTTCCTGGGTTTTAAGCAGGATCAGACTAATGGAGCATCTGCTAATCAATGAAGAGAACTTTCAAAAAGAGCTGGGATCACAGCAGGATGCCCCCATCAGCAAACTCTTGTAGAGTCTATGATCTGCTGCACTTGTAACCTCCATGCAACCCTGAATTATTTCTAAATGTGCCTCTGCCTGTGAAAGGACATGAATGGGCCTTTCTTCATAATGGGGGATTTAAGGGTCTTTCAACAATCCCTGTTGCTTTGGGATTTTAGAATATTGGATATTTCTCCACATCAAGCCACCCCCAAATAATTCACTATTACATTAGTTATTGAACGGGAACTGTCTTCTTGTTCCCTATTTCCCCCAACCACTGCCCCCCAACCAACCTCCCTACCAAATCAAGCAAGAAAATACATATGTTGATGGAGCTATGACACTGAAGGGCCAGCATGGTCAGTGGTGAGCCATGTGCAAGCTGTTGGCACCAACTCAGATCCCAAGAGCCAAAAGTCCCAACGGGCCTTGAATGTGTTGCCCCTGGTTACTTCTATGTGCTTGTCTGGGACCTCTTTGCTGGACACCTGATTCCTCAGCTCAAGGTCCCAGAGCTGATGGGCCTTGTGAAAGGCCATATAGGCGTGGCCTGCTGACTCATTTAAAATTGAAGACCTGGGATGCACTGTTGAATTTGTACTCTGGTGAGAGGCTGCAGGCAAAGCTCAAAAGGGGTTTCCTTCCACTGATAAAGTTCTAATTCCTCTTCCTGAAAGGAAACGTGAAACTATCCCTTGCTGATTTCATGGCTCACAACCAAATACCAGATGAGCAAAGATGGAGAGAACTTGTGGATATGCCAAACTTCCCTCAGAGGCCAGGTGGACCTCAAATCCACCCTGCCAGTCGGCAGGCACTATGGATGGAACTCTAGCCCATCCCATGGGACCAGGCAGCAAAGGTGACCACACCATCAGCCAAACAGAAGTGCACGCCGGCTTCCTGTCATCGCATTCCCCTGTGCCACACATTTGGATCGCCTGCAGTGGGCCAGGGGGTGATGGGGGTAAGTCTTCTGTGAGTCAGTTCCTGTGTTCTCTTAGACTAGAATCAGGATACTCATCTTGTTACTTAGTCTTCAGGGTCATCTATTTCTTTGCAACATTCCCTCCAAAAAAGAGTTTCAAAAGAAAATGTTACCCATTTATTTATATATTTTTACTTTTTATTGCATGCAGAGAGATTTGGAAGAGGCTTAATAACGATGATAGAGAATCCCGACTTCCAAAAGGAAGTTGTTCCATCACAGGTGAATGTCAGGTGAGTTGATGCCAGACAACAAGCAGGACTCGCAGAGGGTGACCTTTGCACTGTGGGGAGTGTCATCACCCCAACAACCGCACTTGGAGTACTCCTAAGCTCAAGGCCTCAATGACATCGACACAATTCAGGCCTCCCCAGCTCCTAGGCTCCACTCTAAGAGATAACAATGTACTAAGTTAATGATTAGAATATTCTAAGTACCAAAAAAGAGATACAGGCAAATGAAATAACATTCAGGAAGTGATAATATGTAACCTGGTGAGTTTGGAGATGTTTATAAAACTTATTACAAGTGTGATGTATGACTGGCTCTGAGTCTTCCTAGACTGAAATGCACACAGAACAGGAAGGTTCTGGCAAAGCATAGCCTTGCCTTCAAACGTACTTCTCAGGCCCTACCTCCTTAGTTGAAAAGATGGCAATATCACATCTCCCTAAAATTACATTGGAACAACCTACCCCCTTATCTAGACCCCTACTTTGCAAAAATAAGATGAAATAAAAATCTGATTAATAAAAACCACTCTCTGAGCCTCAGAAATGGGGACATTGAAGGATGTAGTCACAGAAAATGACTCTGCTTCTCCAGAAGTTTCCCAAAAGTTGTCTGCAGCCATTTTTCTGACATGGCTTAATAAAGAACCCAAGACCTTGTTCCCAGACCCTAGGCAAACCTCAGTCTCAGCTCCACCATCAATTAAGGGTGACCTCAGAGGTCCATTCCAGCTCAGCCTTTTGCAGCAAAGGAATATTTATGTCTCCTTTCCTCTGAGTTACAATCTGAAGGGCCCTGCAGGCCTAAGATTCCACAGAGCTTAGAGATGACTGCTGCTAAATCCCAAACTACTACTGGGAACCAAATGGAAAGAGGTGCATGGGGAAAATAGTTCTCACTCATGAAAAAATAACAACAGAGTCGGGGGAAGCATCACTTAGCTTTGACATGAAAGAAGAGAAAGTTCAGCAGAGTAGGGGTGGGGGCTGGGGGCATTTTTTCAGAACTTGTTTGCCCATCCCTAGTTGCAACACCCATTTGCTTCTCCCTAAAAGCATTGCGACACTCCACCCCTGAAACTGACCTAATTTGTACCTAAGAAAGTGCCTCTTGTGCCAGCGGTGGCCCTGGCTCAGTGAGAAGGGGTCTAACTCTATTCTACCTGGTCACAAACACGGGCACTGCCCTACAGAAACCACAGGAGCCCCGGAAGACACTGGGCTTGCCGTCCCAGCCAGCTCGCCGTCCCAGTGACTTGCATCCCTTTGGCTCCTCTGCTGCCAGTAGGTGCCTGTCCAGCCAGCCCTGCTGCCCATCACAGGAGCCTGAATGAAGCCTCCTTGCCCCCTGCCAGGGCACCTGCCTAGGATGGAGACACATGCAGACTCCGCCAGGGATGGAGATGAAGCTGGGTGCCCAGGCTTGAGCTCCAGCCTCCCCTTTTCTCAGGCCCCATGTGGCCCCCAGTTCTGGCTTCTGCTGCCTCCCACTTACCTGGGTCCTTGTTCCTCTCCCGAGGGTGCCCCACCACACAGTGGCTGAAGGGCACAGCAGCCTCACCCTCTGTGGACGTGCCATCCCAGGCTCCTGTCCTCTGGGACGCACCCAGGCCTCCCACACCTCCCAACCAGCAGTGACCTGCTTTCCCACCCACCCCAGGCTCCCAAGTGCAAACCTGGCTGTGGTCACCTCCAGTGGCTCTCTCTGTCCCAGACCACCCTCTGCCCCTGCCCCACCCAGTCTCACTACTTCCCAGGCTGGTCCACTGCTCCACCCCATGCACCCCCCTGGTTACACTTAACCCAAGACTCCAGGGTCAGCTTTGGCACAGGCCTGGCAAAACCCCGGGGAGCCTCCACTCCCACAAGGAGGATTTGCCCCAACTGATTTCCAACACTGGTGCCCAAGGGACAGGGTCCCATGCCCTGCCCTCCTCATCCCTCAGTGGCCTCCTGCCCGGAGACACCAGCCCAAAACATCCCCTCCTTACAAGGAGACTGTGGTATTTCCAGTGTAGAATGTGATAAGGCCTTCTAAACAGCTGAGTCACCACACAATGATTTCATCACTCCCCACACAAATGGTACCAAGCTGGGCAGAGCCTAGTTGGACTGAAGCCCACTGCCAGTCTCAAGGGTCAGGATCAGTGAAGCATTCTCATTGCCTCAACAATTCCCCTCTTTGCCTGGAAACCCCCCTAGACCCACTCTTCCACCTGCCTCCCTGGGAGGGCTGCACAGACACTTAAAGTGGCCAGCCCCAGAAGAACAAAGAGCAGAGTTCATATTTCTTTGCCTTTCTTCCACCAAGACCAAACGCAATGTCTAGCAGGCAGCTGGGGCTCTTTGCAGGGCTTGCTGACCTTCTAAGGCAAGAGTTGGGGAAATACAGGCTCCCATTGCTAATCCTCTGCCTGATGTCTCTCAGCGTGAGATCTTTGTCCACCCACATCAGAATCTCCTAGTCCCTGGCTAAAATGCAGGTTCTTCAGCCCCACCGGAGCCCTGCCAGCTCGGAGGTCCTGGGATGGGGTGGGTCCTGGGACTCTGCATCCTTACACAACCTTCCCCACAAGTCTTCACATTGGAGTCACTGAGCCACTAATTCAGCAACATGTAAACTTCCCAGGGCCCTTTACAGGTAAGAGGGAGGACTACAATTAGAGGAAGACTGTGAGCACAGGGGGTGTAAGTCCTTAGCAACTACGGACATCTGTGTACATCCACAGCCCCTCCTACGGACAAGAGGTCACCTCGCCCAGCCCGGCCTAAACTGAAGCCTCTCTGATGGCCTGTCCAGGTTTTGTAAGTTGGTCTCACAGAAACAAAAAGCAAAGCCTCTCTCATCACACTGCCAGTTGTTATTTACCCAAGGCCCCAGCAAGGGCACTGTGGAGGCCCTGGTCTTGCTCAGGTGAGACTGAGACAAGCTTCCCAGGGGTGTGGAGAGTGCAGTGTGCTGGGCCGGAGGGCTCCAGGCTTCTCTGTCAGGCCTTCGGATATGAAATAGCTCATTCCACGCCAACACTCTATCAATGGTCATGTTTTCTGTGGGACAGTCCATTTAATCCACTTTTTTTAAATCAAAAGATGGTTGACTAGACCATTCAGTAAAATCCGTCCAAGTGCTAAAGCACACAGACTCAGCCTAGGATAGTTGCTTTGTAACAAGGCACAGGATCAAAGAAAGGGATGGAGGCTGAACACAGCAGATGCTGCTTCTTGTCACTGAAAGCCGGCATCATATATCCACCTGCGAGAGAGCCGAGCCTGCCCGGGAAGTGGCATGTGATGACAAACGAGAAGAACAACTACAAGGACACAACATGTATCCAAAAGGGAAAACCGGTTTGCAGTGTCTCTCTGTCCAGTGGGCAAAACATATGACCAGGTGAAAATGGAGATGAATTCAAGCCTCAGGATCTAATTCTTTCATGTCAGCATTGTAGTAGAGCGCATGTATTTCTCTCTTCTGTAACCAGCTCTTCTGTGGCACAGATTTCTGAGTCTTCGTCCCTGGCCTGGTAGTCAACCAGCACAAATACCCTCAGATAGAAATCTTCCATACTTCTGAAATCATTAAAAAGGCTGAATTGTGGGAAGACTTGGCTTAGGGGTCCAGGAAGGTGCCAGAAGATGATGGTGCATGTGTGTGTGTGTTCTTTTAAAAGATAGGTGCTATTTTAGACTCTCTCCCATAGAAATACAACAAAAGAGTCCAAAGCTCACAGCCACCCTGTGCCCATCTGTCGACAGGCTATTCAATTAACTTATTGTTACCAGTGAAACAGCAGCTCAGTGTGTCTGGAGAAAGAGGAAGTCCCAGGCGCTAAAGTGACAGCCATTAAGCTGTTGGCAAAGCCAAGAAAGCAAGTCGTTCCATCCGCAGCATCTCATCCTCTGGCTGCCTGCTTTCCTTCCTTCTCTTCCCACTGCCTCATTTTCTCTTCCTGGTTCATGCTTCTCCCCTTTCTGCTCTCTGTTCCTGCTCCCTTCAGGGTCTACCTGCTGGGGATGAGGGGAGGCCACCTCCTCCACTTCAGTAAAACACTCAGTTCTTGAGCTCGAAGCACTGATGTCAGAGCAATGGGCTTAATTCTGAGAACTTGCAGCAGCTTCTATTTATTTAAATTTAGCCAAGGAAGGGGAAGGAGGGAAGACTTTGTTGCCGCCTCAGATGAGCTTCAAAGCCTTCCCCACCCTTCCCTCACGAGCAGAGGTCTTATTTTCCACTCTCCTCTCTCACTGACTTCTCTTCCACTCTGTAAGTCATTTCTTGGTTTCACTCTCAAGGGGCAAAGAAATTGAAAAGGTGGAGCCGCTGAGCTCAAAAAAAGCCCTCTTCAAACTACTGAGATTCCTGCCTTCCAGGGCTCACGTGCACCAGCCTCAGGGTGAGGCGGTTTGCCCCAGGGACCCAGCTGGGGCTCCCTGACTCAGGGCCGTGGAAGCTGCAGATTTAAGGCTGTGCTTGAGGTCCCTGCATTGATTATCATATTTTCACGATCTAGGTCCACTGGCAACTGCTCAGAGGGGAAAATAATAGCCCTCAAAGGAGAAACATGAATGTGATATATATGGGCATATTCTAAGCATAATATCTAATTATAGGGAGTGAATCACAAATTTAAGCATCTTAAATACAGACATAAAAAGGAATAATTAACCCTCAAACAGGAAGCTGCTGAGCTATCTGATTGCATCGTCTGAGAATCAAGAAAAGCAAGTCAGCACACTGTAAGCATGAGAAAAGCAGAGGTTAATCCTCTGGTGGAGTTTCAATATTCTGTCTGTAGATGTGTTAAGGAAGGTCCCTATATGTGCAGAAGACTCATCACGGGACTGCGAAACTGTCCCAGTGAAAACCCCCTCTCTGCTGTAGAAAGTGACATTCTCTCGGCCCGAATCCCTCCCCTTGGGGTGTTGTTGATACGCTGTTCCACATTCATCATTCTAAGGAAGTCTCAACCCAAAAGCAGTCAAACTCCAGTTTTATGAAGAAATTTCAGTCATGCTTTAGTTGCCCCCTGCTCAATTTAAAAAGCTAAGAATTCGTCACTGGACACTGTCTACATAATCACATATCTTAGTCTCAGTTTAGAAGCTCCTAGAAAGAAGGAGTTGTGGTCTCATCCAACTAAGTCCCACTGTTTCCCGTGATGGGATGACCCTAATTATTAGATCCACATGACATTCAGAGACCATGGCAGCAATGGGTCTGACGGCACCAGGTGAGGGAACCGCACCAGAGAGCAGAAGCCAAGAGTGCTGGGGGCAGGTACTTTAGCAGCAGCCCTGTGGGTGGTGAGCAAGCGGTCTCTGTTACCTGTTGTTGGGAGTAGGAATCCGAGTACCAGGCCCACCGCCTCTTGGTGCCAGAGGCTCCAAGGAAACACATCACCTTAAGGCCCTGCACAGAACCAGGCTTTCCTCACACTAAGAGACAGAGCAAGGGTTGATCACCAGTCCCTCTGGCCAGGGGGTCCTTTCTAGCAACAGATGCAGGATAGCTGGACTGCACACGCTCTCTGTGTTCTGCCTAAGAAGGACACTGTCTCCTCCATGCAGGGGACAGATGTAGCAGTGGAGTTGGCCAGGTGTCATCTGATGCACATGCTTAGGCAGGGCCAGGAGCAGACAGAGTCTGAAACAAAGAAAGAATGGCCCACACACGGCTACAAGCTCAGCACAGGCTTTTTCTCTTGATAAGGCAGTGGTTCAGGCCCAAGATCCATTCTTATGAGGGCTAGTCAGGGTCAAAACACTGTGCTTGAGGCTGCCTTCCCAACAGTATGACCTGGGAAGAACCACTTCATCTCTCCACATCTTGGTTCCCTTTTCTATAAGCACTGAGAGTACTTCTCCAGACAGGGCAATCCTGAGGTCCCAAAAAGACCATGCATTGAAAAGAGTTTTGGAAAGTTTTCAACCTGTGTGGGACAGGTGTGCATGACAACACCCTAAGTAATTGCTCTAAAAACCAGGACAACCTTTTACCCCATTTAAATAAATTATGAATATGCTAGAGGCCACTTTGTGTCCAGCCTGAATGAAAATACATTTCTTGGTGCTTATTGGCACCTATGGGTGTTTCTACATCAAAATCTGGCAATAACACTGTATCAAATTTTTGTTTTCCCAGGAAATTTCCCATTCACTAAGAGCTGCTCTTCCTCTTTAGACCTATCTTGACATTTTTATTGCCAAATACCAAGTGCCATGTGGGCTGTTTTTGTCCTTGACAGTCCCAGATTGTCAATTTGCTTTTTAAAATTGAATTCAATTCTGCCCTTTTAAATGGCATTTTAGAAAAATAGTTAATATGCTCATAATATATAGCTATAGTTATTTGAAAAGAACAGGTTACAGAATTTTATGTAGTGACAATCCCATTTAACACACACGCATCCTAGAGATTGAAAATATACATACACAAAAATATTGAGTCGTTATCTCTAGGTAATGAGAACAAATTCTAATTTATTTTTCTTTGTGCGTATCTACTTTCTATAGTTTCTAAAATAAGCATGCATTTATTCTGGAAAAAGGAAAGAAATTTATTTTAAAATGCTG